AATTACTACAGCTTTCTGGGCCCAGACTTACATGCCTTATAGGTGTTGAACTCTCCACATAAAATGTACCACAATTCAGAAACAAAAGCACTGCATACTTTAGGACTTAGAGGAGAGTTAAGCATAAAATGGCTTTATGCTGGCTCTCAGCAGTAGGCTGAATTCCACCTTTAATGAACTCGGTATGAACTAGGCTTTTCCAGTATCTGCAGGATAGGCCTACTGTTAGATTAGAAAACTGTCATTGTTTCACTGCAGCCAAGTAATTCTCAACATACGCACATTTGGGTCTGAATTTTGACATTTGCTTTAGTAGGAAATAAGCAGATAAAACACAAATCAACCAAAAGGGCAAAATAATGCAATTATTACCTGTCTATATACCTGTGAAGTAGATCGAGCCAAATGACTACATTTAGCTCTTTGCATGTGCTGGCTTTAATCACTTCTTTGTTCTGTGTTTGTACAGTATCTAGATCAACAGGGTCCATGCCTTAGTTTTCTAGGATCACACCAAAACCAATTCCATCAGTACCTCCACGTGCTCAAGGGTTTTGGTTTTGATCAAATCTAGTGGGCAAACAAGCGTACATTGCCTTCTTACTATCCACTACTCCCACAAGATTCCATTATAAATATTAGTATTAAAAGGAGAAAACACATTCAAGGCAGTAATATTTTTTTACTTCATTAACAGAATTATTATTCCCTAATAAAATTCAGAAAACTGACCACCAAAGGCCTATTTCATGAGGCCATATCTAGCTGTAACTGTGAATGAAAAATCCCAAACTGAAGAAGGAAGAAATACAGTGATATGGCAACTTGAATCATTGGCATTTTTAAGATGAAAACTTGGCCTGAGCTTGATGGAAAAGGCTTTAAATTAGTTGTGCTGGAAGGCTGACAACTGGCTTGAAATGGGAATAAGACTGAAATCGACCATTTGTAGCTCTGAACACATACATATGCAATTACTCCTGATGAATATACCCCTGATTGACTTCATTTGCAGACACTTATCCTGACCATGTGCAACTCTTGCTTCTATAGCTTAACCTACATTTAAATATAGGCTCTCCTAAGAATTATGTTTGTCCACAATTAACTTCCGAACTTTTAATTCCCAAACTTGTGCAATCAAAGGACGAAGGCACATACTGATCTCATTCAAATCAGTATTACTAGCAGAAAACTGTATCAAACAAGATTTCTGCAGCAAACTTAACAAAAAGTTTCAAGTAGAAAGGTGCTCTGCCCATATTCACCAGTGCTTCCTGGCTGCTGTGTTCTGATTCAGTCCTGCAAAGCTCCCAAGCTCTCACCTCAATAATGATGAGGTGCAGGCAGTTTTTCATCTGAGCTACTCGAGGCCCAGCTGGTGGCTAAGCCCACCGCCAAGCTCCGTTTCAGCTGTCCCATAATCAATAAGGACACAAAGAAAGCTACTTATTGATCTGATTTGATCTTCTATTATGTGGTCATCTCAAAGTGCAACCGCGTAAGTGTGGGTGGTAAAGTGAGATGAACTGCAAGTGTTCAGAAATGCATCCCTTTGCCAAGGAGGACTGAAAAGATAATCATGACAGTGCAACAAAAATAATACCCATTAGATAATACTGGTTAATTTCAAATCTTTGCCTTGCATCCTGTTTACAGCATCTGCCATTTTTCATTTTCATTTCTTTTACTGTTCTATGTATCAGCAATGTTTTATTCTACAAGAGTAGAAAGAAAACTGAACTTTGATAAAGCACATACCAAGTACATATCAAAAGATATGTATGTACCTCTGTACTTTATCTTCAAGCGCATTTCAGATGGCAAAAAAATTTACTTTCATTAATAACTCTGAAGATATAAAAAAAAATCCATCTCTTAAATACAAGAAAGAGAGATGATGTCTTTGCTTAGATAGTATATTCCAAGTATATTAAAATGTTATTGCATTAAAAGAACAGCTCAGATTTAAGCTATTTGGGATGAATTCAAATCAAGTGTCAGAAGACATACCAACGGAGGTAACTACCACCTGGGAGAAAAACCCAGGCAGTTCTCATCTTACTAAAGACAAAGGGAACCTTTTCAGCATCCTGCTTTGCAAAAGACCTTTGAGCCAAGCAAACTGCCACTCAAAACAACAGCATACAAGATGACCACATTTCTTTTCTCAGTTTCTCTGTTCATTTACCTCACCATCTTCATTAAAATAGAAAAATGAGAAGCACCTACCCTGTCAGCCTGGAAGAAAGCACCATATCCTTGGGATGTATATTAAACACAGTAAGATAATGTTTAGTTTTAAATCAAAGTATTCCCCATAGCTGTTAGCACACAGAGGTTCTCTCAGCTCTGCTGGAGGATGTGCAAACATCTACTCAAGGATTTAGAAAGGGCTAATTCCTAATTCCGTCGACTAAGCCTGCTTGCTGCTATGGACTGCTACAAGCTCTATTCCTTTCAGGGACTTACTGGTTGCCCAAGGTGACAGTGCTGTGTCACAACTAATCATGAAAGTGATATGGTAAAGGCTTTCTAAAAATTCAGCTTTGAGTAAAAAGATCGAATTACTCAGTCTCTCACCTTTTAGGCCTAAAAACCAAGCAGGTGTTATGTTTTACTTTTCCTGTATTAGCTGATATACAATAAAGTTACATATACTTTCCATTCACAAGCCAAACTGTCACTCCAAGAATCAGTGACAGCAGACTGGCACAGGTTGATACAACTCTCCAGATGGCAGCAATTCTAAATAAGAGAAGGTCAAGCCATGCCAGTAAAACGGGTGTGTGTGTGTGTGTATGTTCATTTTTCAGTTTTGGGTGTAGGCCAATTTATCTTTTCTAACCACGTAACTTACAACAAGGCTGATTACCAAACAATAGAGCAAATCCTAGGAGAGGTTAACACCTGTAACTGCCATCCACAGCAGGAACAAGAACAATGGTATTGATTGGAGACAGGTTGTTTGATGTTCCTTGCTACTTTGAAAAGAAACAAATACCTAGTAACCTAGCTGTGATCCTAATGAAACTTTCAAAACACAGCTGAAAATGACATTACTCAGTAAGGCATCCTCCAAGGAATATGTAAGCGGAGACATGGAACTTAACAAGATTTGTGTATCGCAAGTTGTTTGTATTTCTGTAAGGGAAATTCTGTATTTTAAGTCAATTCTGACAAAAATCTAAATGAGGCATTTTTGGTTTAGGTTGATTTCTACATCCTGGAATACAGTTTGTTCTTTGAACAAACTATATTGTGGCATTTAGCTTCAATCTGTGCTCACCTGGACTACTGCATTTCATCAGGGGATGTGTAGCTGGCTGCCTATCTTCCTTGGTGGCCTGTGCCCAGTACCTCACATAATGCAGTATCTCAACTGACTGGATGGATAGGATTCCTTCTGGAAGCCAGAAGAACACAACATGACAGTGAGTTACCCACTAAACTAGCCCTGGATAGTAGCAGCATCTAAAGCTTTCCACTTCTTGACTAACTTCACTATTTTAACTTTGAGCTCCTACAAAATGACTTCTTGAATTGTGCATTTATAGGGCTTTACATTAGTGCTTAAGCTCAAATCTTATTAGGCTCCCTGGGGATCACAGTACTTCCAGCTAGTAGTCCAAGTCTTAACAGTTCTCTGGTGTTTCCCCACATCCTTTCATAATAGTCTGATCAGCTGCTATTTACATTTCTTAACATACAGGCCAGACAGATTGTCTTTGATATTTAACAATAATTTGGTCTCTGCCTGATGCTTTAGGCTAATATTTAATTTCAAATGAGAGATTAAAATATTGCAGCTGGACATAACTGCACCAGAGACTGCAGACAAAGAATTCCATTTAGAAAACACACACATGAACCAGTAATCCTATTTTCATCAACCTCAAATTTCTCCTTAACCTCAGTAAATCTGGTGTATGAACATATTTCAGAAAATTAAAATATTTATGAGAGCTCATACAACAAAATGTCACTTGCAATTAGCCACCTTGAGCTAGTCTGTAGCATCCATCTTCTTTACAAAGTTCAAACTATTACACTGTAAAACAATTCTGTGTACCAAGGTCTATCTTTAGATAATCCACTGATATTCAGATTCCTTATGGTCCCATTAGAGAATACAACATGTGCCACAGAGAACCCTCTAATCATGAAAAAAATCTTTGAAGTTTTTTTCCAGCTATTCCAAGCAGGAATCTGTGTAACGATGACAGAAGAGAGAAATGAAAGAAAAATCTCTTCTCATCTTAGCCATTCTTTTCATGGTTTCTCACTTCCTCCTTTCTGCTTTTAGGGCATGGAATTGCTCTCAGATATGGAGACATCTGTGTCATAACAGTAGATAACGCTTTTCCTCGTAGGATATACCACCTCACCCCTGAGTCACAGTCATTTTTTTTTTTGCTTCTTTTAACCAAAGGATGTCTCATGAGAATTCAGCCAAGAACAAACGCCTTTCTTAAACGCATTGAGCACCTGCACCAGAAAAATCCCATTCCTATGTGTATGATTACTTAAACAAAGCATCTTTGCAGGACAGAGTGCTAGATAATAAGCTGACCTCTGGGTAAACCTTTTCTTTTGCTCACCCTCCCCTCCTCATTTACTGGGCAAATGATTTTCCACAGAGGTGACAAGACAGTTGCAGGAGAAGTTCTCAATGTCTGCCACGTGTTACTCTGCCAGAAATGCAGAGTTCTTGCCTGAAACACATGGAACAGCACACTTCCCATAACTGAAATAACTCTGTGGTCTGCTACTTCCGAAACAACGCTGCAGTTTCCATAAATGGGAAATCATTTACGATTAATCTGCTTTGTAATTATCAGTCTTGAATAAACTACCTTCAGAGTTGCATTTTCTGCACAGCAGCACATGCCAAATTAAAAGCACTATACAGGTTTGTATGCACTTCTAAATTGAGTTGATTTGTTTTGTGTGTCCTAAAGCAAATAGAAAACTGGTAATTAATGCAGCCACAGACGAACCTTTAATTATTCTTCGTGTTTTGTAAGTCCAGGAGATGGACGTTCCCATTTGGTTTCTCAGTCTCGATGGCACACAGCGACTCCTTCTGGTTTAGGTTCGTTTCTTTCTCTTTTTTACCTCTTTCCTGTGCGTCCAGCCAAGCTTCCCTACATCATCCACACCGTCAAGTCCCAGCAGATGGAGCTAACAAGCCACCTGCTTGGTTTAGCTAGACAGGAAAGACAAAACTGGCGTCTAGACCAGACCGCTATTAACAATACTAGCTGGTAAGAACTTCTCTTATGCAAATCAAATATCCCCCTGTGATTTGTTAGTCCTGAAGCAAAGTGATGGGCACCTTCTTCTCTACCCACCTAATTTAAACCACTTATCTCATAGCAGTACTTTGCTTATCCCTTCTTCAGAGAACCATGGAAGGTAAAGGCAGACATGAAGAAGGCAAGGTGGCTCTATACTTCAGTAATTTTTCATTTTCATTGCCAAAGTCACAGTTTACCATGGATATGAACTTCCTAGTTAAGCAATTACCAGTCCCAGATGCTACTAAACTGCAAAACCATGGATCTATCTTAACCTAAAAGGAGGACACATTTAATTTAGACTTATCTGGCAGCAACTCAGAAAGACAAAGAAACAGGTCAGGACACTCCTACTGGCACCCCAGAACAAGACCTAGGAACGACAGGAAGATTATGGGAAAGAGAAGCGGATTTAATAAACTGAATTTGCAGGGGTTCCTGATCTTTCTATTGCAAAATAAGACAAAGCTTCCAACACTGGAGACAAAGCCCTTGTTCCTTGGATGCATCCTCAGCCACAGTAATCACGTTCTTAGGATGCTGGCTAACAGCGCACTACATCCCAAACGTAATTATGATATCTAGTCTGATCTTCCACACAGCCTTCATTAAAGATCATAAACTGAAAAAAATTCCCACTGTAACACTGGCCAATGAAGCGAGTCTCTCAAAATGGGAACTATCAGCATTCAAAAATGTTATTTCTATGTAACTAAAGTTCAGCCTGTGTAACAGGTTCAGTCAGATAACACAGTCCAGAAACACGGATTTCCATCTCCCTACATAGAATTGACTATAATCCTGCTCTTCATACTGTTTAATTTTACTCTCCTCTTGATCTACTGGGCTGTACACCCAGACAGCAAAAAACTGCCAAAGTGCAATTACACCAACAAAGATTGGCAGGTCCAGAACAAGAATATACGGCAAACAGACCACACGTTACTTGCCCCAGTAACCTTACTGCTACATAGAGATAAAGGCAGATTCTGACATATAAGTTTATTTTTCACAGAAGCAGACAGTGAAAGAGACTCCTGGAGATAATTTTTCACATTAATTTTAAGGTAATACAATGGTTTGAGAACTTTATTTTTAATTCAATCCAAATTTTATCAGCTGGTGAAGTAATGAAATGAGATTAATGTAAATATGATCAGTTGAGATAGGCTGTGGATACTGACCTGTTTAAACTGTATGCTGTTAGGCTATCAGCAATGTAAGAGTAATTGATGTAGCAAAATCTAGACAACAATAAATGAAGAAAATATGTGAGTATTATTAAGAGCAAGCTACCGTTACAGCAGAACTACATTTTATAGTATGGGAACAAAATGAGAATTCTGGCTAAGAACCCACTGCCCCTCTAATGTGCTCTGAGACAAACTGCTGAAGCCAGAATAATACCATTAGCAGAATCCTGTTAGAAAATTAGACTTACAGCTGGTAATAAGAGACTCTTAAAACTATTACTACATTAACTTCTGGAAAATACATAAGGAGATTTATAGCTACCACAAAAGACTATTGCTTCACTGCTATTGTAAGCAGTATCAAACCCAGGCATTAAATAATGTTGAACTAGAACTAACCTAAGAAATTCAAGATTTTGACTGAGGCTCTGCTTTTAATTAGCTCTATTTCAGGGAGAGGGAGATAAATGTTCATTTTTGGTTTAGGTTAGTGTTAATAGATTTGGAGAACACCCAGCCACTGCTGAGGATGCTGGAAAAAAAGGCTGTTAAATAGGCTAAGATCCCGAGGCTCTCAAACTTCTCCCAGACCTTTTGCCAAATCCCAGGAAGACATTCAGCATGTTCCAGTTCTCACCCTGGCCCAATCTTCCCCCAACTATTCCTCCTCCTTACCAGAAGGGAAGCGGGCACTTCACTGCATTTGGATGCAGACTGAAGAGAGATCAGACAACTCCTAAGCCAAAGACACCTCTGTGAGCAAACCTTACTGGCACAACCACATGATCTTATATCCAAAACCCAATTAGGCAGCTACCCCACATACCAGCTTTGCTAATCAGTGCTTCTGTTCTTCAGCAAAGAACAATACAGGAGAATTTAAGTCACTGTCTACCTCATCTGCAAGGCCAGTTTGTCTTCTATCTGCTGTAAACAGACCCTTCTGTGGTCTGCACACGTCCTTGGTGTTCCAAGTAGAAGACAGTCAGAGCACAGTGTTCATAACACCTCCATTGTGGCCCATATTACAGCACAGTCTGGCAGATACACTGGCACAGAGCCACCATCTTTTCTAGAAGGGGCTGAGGAGAAATCAGACAAAAGAAAATACATGCTTTCCTACCAGAAAGAGTCTTCCTAAGGGCCAGCTTTCGCTTGCCTTATCTCTTTGTGCTATCAACATAGTACAGCAGGACCACATACCAAAGGAAAGTTGATCTCACAGGCATCTACAACTATGTGACTCCTTTCCTGGAAATGGGGTTGAGTGAGGATTCTGAGATGTCTTACAGCATTTTGGGGGGCTTAGGCAATGACTTAGGCATTTCGCATAAGCTCTGAGAGTAATTTCATAACACTGAATTTGAATAGTGCCAATAGGGCCCCCACTGCAGTGAGGCAGCTAGGCCATCTAGAATAGCTGACGCAAGAAACAGGGACACAGTCAATGCACTGTTTGCTCCTTTTCCTCCCTAGGAGATCCCTCCCAATTACCCTGTATGGCACTGCTGCAGGGCAGCTCTCCCTTCCAGCCAGAGCACAGTGCAGTGATGCAGGTAAGTCACATATGAGATGTACGATGCAATGCTTGTGCTCATTCCCTCTAGTAGACAGCTCACAGCTGAGCTCAATAGTAGTAGTATAAAGCAGAGAGGAAAAATTAGCTCTGCCTCCTACATATTAATGAGCTTTCAAATCTCTGCAGCGCATCTGTTCGGACATCTCCAGAGATCTTAATCTATGTTAGGAACTAATTAAAGTTATGAGGAAAGATCCCATCCCTTAGCACATTTATCTAAGGAAAAGAAGCCTGCAGTCAGGTAGAGCACAATATGCTGGCAGCTTCTGAGGACCACAGTGACACCTCAGGTATGAGAAGTTTGCCAGGGACAGGACCATGGGGCACAATGTTGCTGACCTATGCCAGAGATGCGATACTGTCTACATACTATACATCTTCCTAGCTGCTGAAGCTGTCTAGAATCCTAGAAGTGGAAAAGTAATTTGTCTTCCCCCTTGCTAGGTTGCAGGTCTTGTCCTCTGCTTCTTACAGCTATCCCACATTATGGGCCCAAACCAACATGCTATCAATTGAAAGGCAAGCTGATTCAGAAAGCAAGCAAGCAAGCAAATAATGGCAGTTGGATTCACAAGCTGACACATATGTTCAACAGTGATAAACAAGCTATTGCAATAAAAAGTTTTACTGTGACTATTACTGGAATTACTTAAATTAGAACAAGAGGGGGAAAAGTCGTCCTCATTTGAAGTGGTCACTCTCATTGCTTACGATCTCAGCTACACAACTAGCTACTATGATTTTAGCCATCAGCTGTGGCTTAAATGGGGTATTACACATGCTGGCAGGCCCACTTACATAGCGGAAACAGACTTCTGCACCTTCTTTCATATAGTCTGTAATCCAGAAACAAACAGATGACTGTGTGCAAAGTCCGGTTCTCCTGATGCCACATGGATATCAGCTCCAAACCCAACATTTCCTTCACTCAAATTCCATATACACTGGCCTACTTTCCGTATTTGTATTCAGAACTAAAACACTGCAATAAATGCAGTAATACTGTACAGCAGGTGTTGTGCAGATCAAGATCTTTGTTCCTACAGGGATAGGTGGGTGAGGCTTTGTACTTTAATTGTGTTGTTAAGAAGCTTACATGAGTCATTGTGTCTCCTCTTTCTTGCCTCTCTAATGGCCTTGTACTATATCAACACGCGTGTGTGTGACGGGATCATGGATGTAGCAAGAAGAACTTCGAAGAGTCCCTGCAGAGATACCAATGCAGCTAGTGATGTTTCTAATCTTAATTTGGAATGACAATACATAAGAAATTGCATTGCTAATAACAATAAGAAGAAAAACAGATCATACTAACAAATCACAGAGAATCCAAATTATGAACCAAACAAAAGTAGCCCAGCTAATCTCTTCTGAATGCTGGCACTCCAACAGGTATTTGATAGTCAAGGCAGAATAAATATCAAGACAAAATTATTAATTAATCCCTTGGGAGGGGGAAGCGGGAAACAGGAAGGGAATGTAAGTTGTCTTTGTGGAATGTTGTCAGATGAGAATTAAAATTCCAGTCTTTACTGAGGCCTCTGCTGGAATGTGAGAAACACTGGGTACATTCCCCTCATGCACATACACACTTAGTGTTTTATTTTTTCCATGGCATGCTGGTTAAAGGCTCACAGCTGCATTCTTACTTGGTTTCTCAGTGATCTTGGTACATAAACACAGTGACACCCAAAGCTGCATTCCTCAGCCCTGGTGCTTTGTCTGAAATCGAAGCCATTTTACCCAGGAGTGAGATACATCTGAAGGTCCCTGCTGGGACTAGGAGCAAAGTGCTGTACAGGATCACCCTAGGGTTTAGTCTTCTGCCTCCACAAAAAGCTCCTCAAACATGCTACCAAAAATGACTTAGGAAATATTAAGTGGCCAGCAGAAATCTAATTTCACTTTCAAGTTGATGGAATTTAGCTTATGCTCTAAACCACTACTTAATTTTCATTATCTATCACACTGTTGATTGGAGCTGTTACCCAAAGCACTTTCATTTCACAGGGAGGGGAAGAGGAGAGGGAGATGTGAATTTTCTTCTTATGGTAGTTCCCCAGAAAATGCAGTCTAACACTGCCTGTATGAGGGACAGACACATCTCTTCACCACAGGGCCAGTTCTACAATTTGTGACAGAAAAATACAGGTG